GACTTGACGGCACATAACAACAACAACAACATCACTACATAAGTAGACTGCCCAACCTTCCTTCTGAGAAATGGCTGATGGGTTTGAAACACAAGCCTTCTGGTTAGCAGTTAAGTGCCTTAGGCACTATGCCACCAGAGCTCTGGAGTCTAGTCTACTGTTCAAAAATCTTTTCAGACCTGGGCTACCTTTCTAGCTGTGTGACCTTGGGAACACTATTAACCTGTCTCAGCCTCCTTTCCCTCTTCTGTGTAATAACATTCATTTTGCAAGATTTTTTGAGGGTTGAGATATGTGAGGTGCTGTGTCAGGCACACAGTGTTGTAGCTAGTGTTAATCTGAAGTCCCTGGGTGGTACAAATGATTTGCAATCAGCTGCTAACCTAAAGGTTGGCAGTTCAAACCTACCCAGCAGCACTGCAAAAGAAAGGCCTGGAGATTACAGCCAAGTAAACCCTATGGAGCTCGGTTCTACTCTGTAACACACTGGATCACCTTGAGTCAAAGTCAACTCAACAGCATTGGGTTTGGTTTTTGGTTTAGTTTGGTTTGGTTTTTAGTCTAGGAGTCCCTGGGTAGTGCAAATGCTTTAGTGCTCGAGTATCAACCAAAAGATTGGAGGTTCAAGTCCATCCAGAGGCACCTCAGAAGAAATGTTTAGCAATCTACTTTCAAAGAATCAGACACTGAAAACCATATGGAACACACTTGTACTCTGACACACATGGGAATCAACTCCACGGCAACTGGTTAGGTTTTGGTATTGTTGGTCTACAAATAATTGAAATATCATAGGATGGAAGTCTTAACCTGATCCCTCAAGTACAAGTATTCACACCCTTCTGTGTCTCACTGTGCCCTGTACAGGTGTCTATCTTAGCACAACTCAAACCCCATGTATTACACAGTAGAACTGTTCCACTGGGTTTTCTTGGATGTAATTTATGGAAGCAAATCACTAAGCCTTCTTCCCCTGCACCACTGGGTAAGTTCAAACCGCGAACCTTTAGCTTTGCAGCCAATAGCAAGCCGCTGCACACCCAGGCTCCTAGCATGGCTCACCAGTCCCTTGATGCCCCTACCTCATCCCACTAGTCTCAGCTTAGCATATTTATTTACCTCTATTAAAACAGTGGGAGCTCTGGTAGCATAGGGCCTAAGGCACTTGACTGCTAACCAGAAGGCTGGCGGTTCAAACCCACCAGCCACTCCTCGGAAGGAAGGTTGGGCAATCCTACCTCTGTAGTGATACTGCCTCGGAAACCCAAGGAGGGGTCGCTATGAGTTGGAGCCAACTCGACGCCAAATAACAACAACAACAAATTAAAACTACTATTTTTGTTGTTGTTGGATGCTGTAGAGTCAGCTCCAACTCAAAATGAC